AAATATTACATAAATGAAAAACAAAGATCAGCGCTAGGAGTCTTAGGCCTCATTACCCCCGCCGTCTTCGCCACCATCAGCTCCCTCAGCGCCACCACTACCCTCGCCCCCTTCACCACCGGCAGGAGAATCCTCATCATCAGAAGGAGGCTCGTAAAGGAAGTCCAAATTCAGACCATGAATGTGCATGTTGATCCTAGCAATAAGTTGCTCGCCAACGGACAACATGTCACTGGCACGCATATCGAGCAATTCACCAGAGGATTTGAAGTCCTCGACGGCTTTGGCAGTGACCTTTGCATTTTGCTGAGCAAATTCAGTAGAGGCCAAGAATCCCTCGACTCCCTCATTTTTACCTAGGTCGTAGCCTTGTTGCTTACCTAGCTCATATCCCTCCTGCCGGCCTTGACCAAGGAAGGCCTCTTTGGAATCGGTGACTTGCTTACGGGCTTCTTCTGCGCCCTTCTTGGCCTCCTCCAACTCAGCCTTCACCGCATCTAGCTCCTTTACGACGAGGGCAAGCTTCTTTGAGAGCTCATCCTTGCTGGCCTTCTCCGCTTTAAGGAGAGCCTTCAGGCTCCCCTTTATACGATCCGTCTCCTTACTCTTGTCATTGACCTTAATCATTTCGATGAAGTTAAGGAGGGAGAGGATAAGGGACTGCCAAATCAAAAGAGGACATATGTCAAGAAGAAGAACATAAATAAACTCGAAGTAGAAATAAATAACGAAGCTTACATGAATATGGTGAGATATCTGCTGGCGGGTGCGGTCGACCAAAGAGGACCGAGTAGTGCCCTCCTAGTACTGCTCAAAAAAGGATTCGTATAGAGCCTGGAAGACGAGGGAAAAATGCGGTGGCATATTCATCACTGCCTCTATCTAAGCCGGGGGGAGATCAGGGAAGATGTACTGCGGATCCAGAACCCTCGTCCCCGGAAGAAACATGCGTTCCCTGGGCGGATGAGCCTCAGGAGTGTCGGTTATATCAATAACCAACGCTGGCTTCACCTCCGTTGCTAACGCTTCAGCCTGGCGAGGCCTTTTGGGCCTCGGAGCCTCTTGAGCTGGCACGGGCTTCACCGTAGGTTGAGGCCTCGGCGGGGCACTGGCCTCGGTCATTGCGCTCGACCTCTCGTGATGCCTCTGTAGCCCGAAATGTGCAACTGTAAGGTCTTCATCTTTGCATCACAATCAAAGCCAACTAATTAGACAGACGACTGATGGTAATGAACAAGTGTAAGGAAAATACACTAACCTCCAGTTGTAAAATGGAAGAAGTCCTTGACCGCGTTGGTGTCTGCAAGGTCAAGAAGTGAAAGCAGAAGGCCGAAGCTTCTTAGATTCTCCCGCGTCAAAAGAGTGTCGATATGACGCTCTCTTTCTGGGAGGCTAAAGGCTTCCGTCACCCTCACTAGCCAATTCCCAAAAAGTTGGGGGCAGTCTTGGGGAACTATATAGTAAGACATGGGGTCAGCAGTGTAAAAATATAAATTTAGTTGTAACATGCAGTCGAGGGTACTTACTCAACGTCCTAAAAGATGTTTGCACCCTTAGGAGCTTAAAAGGTTTGTCAATTGGGTGGACGTCGAACATACCCCTGACCATGAAAAACATTAGCTTCCAAGCATGAGACGACAAAGGCAACCCCTTTATTAGTTTTTCTAAAACGGGCTTGGATCGCCTGTGCCTACCTAAAATACATCAGCCGTTGCATTTAAGGACATGGCAAAGTTTATATACAAAAAGAAATTCGTCCAAAGGTAGCTCCATGTCGAACCTTTGGTCCTAAAAAAATCCACGTGCCGGCAAAGCTATACCAAAAATTAGGGGCCAGCTGTGTGGGGGAGATGCCGTGGAGCTCACAGAAGCCCTTCACGAATGGGTGGATGGGAAGTGTCATCCCCGCCATGAAGGCCTGGGTATAGACAGATAGATATCCTGGGACCTGTAGGCTTGCCTGGAAGTTGGGGTCCGGGAGGAGGTACTCAAACCATTGACCGTCCACGCGTCCCTCCCTATACACGCGGACGATGTCCTTTTACTGTGTATTCAGCTCCGTGAAGTCGGCTGTTAAGGACGGCCGCTCCTCATCCGCCCCCACCGATGTCACGGGAACACCGAAGTGTCATCCACTGTAGCTAGAGATTACACCACCGACTAGGGAATTAGAGGGGGCGCTAGACATAGAAGGCTCCTACTCATTTGGCTCGCCTTCGACCAGGCATTTGACGCTGTCCTCATCATCCTGATGATCGGGGATATAGTCCTCGACCTCTCTCAAAATCGGATCACTGTTGGTAGAGAGGGAGGAAGACTCGGCAGCTGGAGAAGGATTCGGCCTCACAAGAGGCACAGACGATGTTCCCCCTCGACGCTTAATCCTTTTAGGTGCCATTACTGTGAAGGAAAAATCTATGGTCAATGTCCTATAAGTGGAGAGGAAATTAGTTCAGCGTCTAAAGTTAAAAAAAACTTAGTCGAGTAAAGTTAAGGCTAAAACGACGTCTGTTCAAATAGGCGACGATGATTCTAACCTAAACATGATTAAGACGATGACCATTCAAATAGAGCGTCGATCATTCAAACGAACCCAGAAAGTGAAACGAGGATCCAGACCCACTCAAAACTCCCATAACCAGCCCAGAACATTACGAGAAACACCAAAACCAAGTTCTAGCACCCCTATTACGCCATTTTCAACCATCCCCCTCCCAAGAAATCCACCACAAGCCTAGGCAAAAGAGTAAACACACAAACATCAAAATAGGAAGGATAGAGGACGAATGCTTACCAGAAAATTAGGAGCAAGAGGGGCGCAAGAACCTGGAAGTGAACTTTGCCGGAGATTCGTGAGTTTACAAGAGGAGAGTATGAAGAACAGTCTTGGAAAGATTTTGGCAGAGTTTCGGCTTAGTTTCAAGACAATTTGAAAGGGTACGCAGAGATTATTTATAGTAACGGAAAGCCCTTGACTTGCAGCCGTCCAATGAAATAAGTATACATCCAACGGCAAAAATGAAGGGACTCAATCCAACGGTTAGGGGATGAGTGGGATACTAGAAGGACACGATCCAACGGCCCGGATTCATCCGTTTAAACAGAAGCCCATGTCAGCATGGCGACTAAACCAACGCACCGTTCGCGCTTCTTGAAGGGCTCCGAAGTACCAGAACCATCATTATAAGGGAGGTTGGAGTTAGGCTCCCCCACCTGAAGCAAACGGAAAGGCCAGAGTAAATCTCAGCCTAGCTCGAGGCAGTCCAAAGAAAAGGCTTGACCTGGGGGACAGTTGTTGTGTGAGAAAATATGCGTTGACACGTCGGATGATGACCATGCTCCACGTGACCCTAAACCCACCACGTTAGGTAGCGGTTGACGCCTAAAGTGCATTTCCCCCTCCGCCATCTGGTGAAAAGGCCGATCGTATGAGACGATTCATGCAACTATTCACCCTACATACAGTCGAGGCTTGCATGATTTTTTCGCAGTAGAAGCGGTACCGTGAGGGGGTCAATCGGGACGGAGGCCGTGCCCTATGAAATATAGTGTAGACACAGAGGGCACGCATGAGTATGGGTCCATGTCCCAAGAAAGATCTCTAAGGTGACAATGGAGAAATCCCTAGGTTACTTATGGGTTTGGAGAAGGTCAGTAGCATAGGAATTGATTACTTGCCCATAAACCACCTAGAACGAGCCAATAGAAATCACAGAGGATCGACAGAGCCGTAATAGTAGACAAAGTGGGTGAGTGAACAGTCCAAAAAGTGTTGAGAGGCTATAGTCTAGGCAGGTAGGATAATAGGCTACTTGAGAGAAACCATCAGAGAACCCCCTGTGATGGTCCTCCCCAAACGTACCCATATGTAATCTGTAGGGTATAAAATGGGCAAAGCCCCAGAGAAAAAGAGAATTTTTTTGTAATCTTTGAAGAAGAGAAATACAATAAGAAAGTGGATGTAGGTCTTTCATGATAGTGTGAACCACTATAACCTCGTGTGTTCTTTTCTTTCGTTTTAACGACAAATCGATACATCTTCAAAATACCTTAAAAACAAACACAATCAGTTGCATAAATATGAGAATATAACTAGTTTTGGCTGGTAACTCAACGGACCACAGAGTGGTAATCCAGCGTAATCTTATTGATGAAATTCCACCGTCATATTATGGACAAGTTTTCAAGGGTTACACTTTTATACTGATTACCCATTAAATATACAAACTTAATGACATGACATGTGAAAAATTCAATTCATTAATTGTCATAAATTTTTTTAGTCAACTATCTCATTTATTATAACGATCGGATCAATATCTTAAAGTTGAAACAATGATATCCATTGATAGGTAAATATTAGAATAACTATTAAAACTACACATATTTTCGAGTTTGAAATAGTGACATTCTATAAGTGGTTACTCAATAATAATATAAATTTGATTATGTGAAGTAATAAAAATATAATTTCATTAATTGTCATGTATTTTTTACTCAATTATTTAATTTATTATAATTAACTGATCAATATCATACTATTAAACTAATAATACCCGTTAATAATAAATATTAGAATAGCAGTTAAAATTATATCATAGGTACAAGCAGACAAAGCAGTAACACACAACAATTCATAGTCCTTCCAGCAGAGGATTAGAGGGAGTAATTGGTGTGTCCATTGATAACATGCGCACAAGCCCTTAATAACACTTTAATTCTGTTTATTTTATTCATTTAAATTTAAAATTTAAAATTTATTATAATAAAAAAATTTCAAAAGTTATCGTATTTAATTTTTTTATTATAATAAAAAACTCTCCTAGCATAGAGCAGCAAAATAAACGGGTCATTTGTTTCCTCACACCGGTCCGTACCACTTTCGTTCCAAGTGTTACCAGATCAGGAACAAACAACAACTGTGAAGAAAAAAATTACAAAAGACTTTGCTCCCATTTCTTCCCTGTTTTGCCTACCTTTCTTTTCTTCTTCTTCTTCTTCCTTTTCTTCTCCTTTTTTCATTTCCTCTCCACAGACCCTATTTTCTTTTGTTTTTGTTTTCTGTAAAAAACTTGTCCTTTCTTTCAATCAATGGATAATCAACAACATCAAAAACTCGCCCATACACAGTCAGGTTTTGCTCAGATCTCAAGACTTTGTTTTTCCGTTTGTTTCAACTGTTGTTGTCGTTTTCTCACTTTCCAACAGAAATGCTTCTTGGGTTTTGCTCAATTCTTGATTTTCTTTATGATTTCATTTTCTCTCTTGAAATCATGGCTTTTTTGCTTCATGGTTTTGTTGTTTCCTATGAAAACTTTTGTGGGTTTTGAGTATTTTTTGTTTTTGTACTTTTTTTCTCTCTTTTATTAATATACTAATTAATTGGATTGTTTTTTTTTTTTTTGGGCTGGGCAAGATCACCACCATGGAGTTCATATTTGTCACAAATGTGGATGGCCGTACCCAAACTCACACCCAAGTGCGAAACACAGACGTGCTCACAAGAGGATCTGTGGAAAGGTTGAAGGTTACAAGCTTGGTGACTTTGAAGGAAGCGCACATTCCAATGTTTCTGATGATGATGAGCACCTATCTGATGAAGATCACAAGAACCCCAGTGAGAATTTACTTTTTGCATTTTATTTTTATTTTTTCATTTTTAGTGCCATGCTTTGTTTGTATATTTGGTGAAGAAATATTGGCTAAAAAGACTAGACTTTTGTGTTGGGTCTTAAATTCTCTCAGGAAGGACCATGAAAATTACTAATGAGTTTGGTGAAATTATCAACTTTTTGGAAAAGATAAAACATTTTGAAGCTTCTTGGTTCAGTTGGTTTTAGAGATTTGTATATTTATTATTGTTTTTTAGTTCTTTTTTAATGTTTGCCTTATGTGAATGAATTTTAATGTGTTTGTACTGGTTAATTTGGCTGCATAAGGTCGTCAAGTCTTGGGAGCAAGTAGTCATGAGAAGGGCAGTGGTGGAACCAAGGAATTTCCGTGTGGATCGAAAGATGAGGCGTTTTCTGATGCTGCCGCAGAATTTTTAGATGGCGGAGATGGTGGCAGAACACAAGGGCGTGCAGAGGATGCTGGAGAATCAGCAACGAATGTGGAAAAGAATTTAAAGACTGAATCAGATATGGCACAATCCGTTGAGCGTGGTCCAGTTGCTGGTGAGCTTCAACATTATTGCAACTAATTTTCAATTGATATTGGCTGCTTTCTCTGCATACAGTTTAGTGAATATTTTAACTGTTATTTATTTAGTTGGAAAATGAAGTTATGGTAAGAAGACTTTTGTGGTATTTAATCACCCTTCCTTTGAAATTCACGAACTTTTCTCTTCATTAAACAGATGTTTATGAAGGGACTAAGATCTCCCAATTGGTGTAATAAGTTGTGTGCCACATTATCAGTATCATGTTCATTTTTCCGGACTTTTTTTTTGTTGATTATTAGCAACTAGTTGGGATTAAGGCTTGTTGTTGTTGTTATTAGCAACTATATTTTGCTTAATAATTATATGTTAAAGCAGAGCGGTTGTTTGTTTCCGTAACTAAAATTGTAATTCAAATTATCATACACTTTAACATGTAAGGGTGTTGGTAATATTTTTTTTTTTCTTTTTTTGGGTCCTGATTATGTTTTTCAGGTGATATCAGGAGATACTATTTTTTTTTTTTAATTGATATGTTTCATACGGTGTGATTATAGGGAAAATATGATTATGGTATTTTGTAGTTTAACACTTTACAAGTTGTACCTCCATGTTTAGGACATCTCATTGAGGTACCTTGTTATTCAAAAAATATAATCCGGTACCTTGAACCAGTTTTTCGTACATAAAATGATGGTTTTTCCCTTTGACTTCAAAATGTTTTTTTAAAAAAAACACACACACACATAGAATTTTACTTTTTTAGTAAATTCATGTCGTTTTTGGAGTTTTTGTTTTTATTTTTATTTTTTAAGATTTTATGGTTTTCTAAGGATTTTTTTTTTCTTTTGCTTCTTTAATTATGTTTTCTCATTGAAAGGATATAACTGTCATTCAATGTCCAAAAACGGGGCTGTACTTAAATGATATTATTTTGAATAACAGGGTACCTTAATGAGATTTTCCAAACAGGGAGGTACCAATTTGATAAAGTGTTAGACTACATTATACCAAAATGATATTTTACCCGAGATTAGAGTTTTCATGCGCCTTTTTTTTTTTTAATTCATGTGCCTGTTTTTTTATCGTTCTTCCATAACAGAAAATAAATTTAAATGTGCAGACACTGTTAAACCTCTGGGCAGTTCACGTGAAAAGCAGCATTCTGAAATTCCAGAGACTACAAGTAAAAGATCAGGGTATGCATCAGAGTTGCCAGGATCTTCAGCAAGCTTCAACTCCAATCGTATGGTTGGTGCTTTTTCGGATCGTCAAACTGAAGGTTTAGCTGTTTTGCTTGATGGCAATAGAAATGCTTCAGTAGATGACTTGCACCCTATCAAATCTGAAACTCTTGAAGATGCGTCACCCGAGAATCAGAAGACCAACACTGTCGATGATGTTGTTGATCGCTCTTTGAAGTTGGCTGAACAGCGGTCTAATCTGGAGGGACAGAAAGAAACTTATTTTGATAGCAAGGAAGATGTTGTTGGTGGCTCTTTGAAGTCAGCCGAACAGTGGACCAATCTGGAGGGGCGGAAAGAAACTTATTTTGATAGCAAGGGTGATGTTGTGGGCTCTTTGAAGTTGGCCAAACAGCAGACCAATCTGGAGGGACAGAAAGAAACTTATTTTGATAGCAAACACGATGTTGTTCGTGGCTCTTTGAAGTTGGCCGAAGAGCGAACCAATCTGGAGGGGCAGAAAGAAACTTATTTTGATAGCAACGACGATGTTGTTGGTGGCTCTTTGAAGTTGGCCGAACAGCGGACCAATCGGGAGGGACAGAATGAAACATATTTTGATAGCAAGGAAATGGCCGGACAGCGAACCAATCTGGAGGGACAGAAAGAAACTTATTTTGATAGCAGCGATGATGTTGTTGATAGCTCTTTGAAGTTGGTCGAACAGCGGACCAATCTTGAGGGACAGAAAGAAACTTATTCTGATAGCAAGGATGGAGTTGATGGCTCTTTGAAGTCGGCCAAACAGCGGACCAATCTGGAGGGACAGAAAGAAACTTATTTTGATAGCAAACACGATGTTGTTGGTGGCTCTTTGAAGTTGGCCGAACAGCGAACCAATCTAGAGGGGCAGAAAGAAACTTATTTTGATAGCAGCAACGATGTTGTTGGTGGCTCTTTGAAGTTGGCCGAACAGCGGACCAATCTGGAGGGACAGAAAGAAACGTATTTTGATAGCAAGGAAATGGCCGGAATGCTAAGCAATCCGGAGGGACAGAAAGAAACTTATTTTGATAGCAATACTGTTGATGATGTCGTTGATGGCTCTTTGAAGTTGGCCGAACAGCAGACCAAACTGGAGGGACAGAAAGAAACTTATTTTGATAGCAATTTACAGGATATTAAGACACCACCCAGTAAGTTAGATGGCGAGACAGATGAGGCCATTTCAAAGTCGGACGAAACTCTTAAAGTAAATTCAGAATCTTCACGACCTAAGCCGGACGATGGTAATCTTCAATTGCAGGAAGAGCATAGTGACGGGTTCCATTTGAAAACTTCCAAAAGTAATGTTTCTCTTGAAGTAGAATCTGTTGAACTTGTGAATGCTCTCAATGATATGGCTGAAAAAACGGTGGAGATTGCAGGACCAGACTTTGTAGATTTTGATGACGTAGCTAAGAAGAAGGGAGGAGTCGATGCAAATTTACATTCGCTTTCTGTACCAGATGATATACATGAAGTTGACAATCTCAAGATCGTGCTTCAGGATTTCAAAGACCATGAAGTAATGAAATTAGATCAATCTGCCACCTTAGAATCCAAACAGACTAAAGATAAGGGGGATGAGAGTCATGGTTTTGTTTTTGAGGAGAGTAGTCAGTCTAACCAGAGTGAAGGGATTGTGCTTTCTTCTTCCGATAAGCATGTTTTAAAAGATAGCGTTCAACTGGATCAGGGGAGCAGCGGGCGAATTGTCAAAGAAGTGCTTGTTGAAGGGGATGCTGATGTGTCTCAGCTTGTGGTCAAGACTACTGAGGACCAGAGATCCAATGAAATAGGAGCCGCTGTGGAAAAAACCTTTTCAGTCTCCTCTACCGAAGAACAGGGATCTCATGATATTTGCAGAAACACTTTACGGGGAAATGTTTCAAGAAATTTTGACAATGCAGTACCTGATGCGGATTTGGGGATTGCTTCGGACCATGCGGGAACAGTTCCAGAAACCCGCTTAGTCAATGAGAACAGTTCCGAGAAAGATGAGAAATTTGATTTGTCTGGAGATCACAACAACAAAAGAGCCAGAGAGGTTGACTATGCTGAGAATCCTGTAACTGCTGCTGAAGGTACTGGTAGTGGATTTGACTTCCAAGTTAATCCAGCAACCTACTTACAGGAAGGAGATAATGCTGGGAACTCTCTGAATATTGAAGGTGAAAAGGCTGATGCAACTCAAAATGATGATACTGATGCTGCTGCTCGTCCTGTGAAGAATGAAACCGGATTTGACAGGAAAATTTCTTCAAAGGATAGTAGCTTGGAGCACCCTGTTCCTGTAGTTGCTCCTGGATCTGCTAAGAATCTCTCTGAAGTCAAAATTAATCCAGAAGCGATCGTATGGGAAGGACACACTGCTCGTAATTTTTATAACATTGAGACTAAAACGGACAAAATAACTGGAGATGCTCGTGATGCTGCTGCTGGTTTTATGAAGGATGAAAGTGGAAATGACAACAGCAATACTCCTTCGAAGGAAAGTTGCTTGGAACAACCTGTGCTTACTTCTGTAGCTGCCAAGAACCTTGCTGAAGTCGAAATTAATCTGGAAACCAACTTACGAGGAGACACCGCTGGTAATTTTGATGAGGTTGAGACCAAAAAGGATAAAATAACTCGAGATCCTGGTGATGTGAAGGATGAAACCGGAGTTGACAATGATAGTAGTCCCTTAAAGGATAGTCGCTCAGAGCTTCCTGCAGTTATTCCTGAATCTTCTAAGAAGCTTGTTGAAGTCGAAATTAATCCGGAATCAGACATACGTGAAGGAGACACTGCAGGTAATTTTGATGAGGTTGAGACCAAAAATGACGAAATAAGTGGAGATTGTCGTGATGCTGCTGCTCTTGATGCGAAGTATGAAACTGGAGTTGACAATAGCAATAGGCCTTCAAAGGAAATTTTCTCAGTGGATCCTGTAAGCATTACTCCTGAATCTGTGAAGAACCTCGCTGAAGTCAAAATTAATTGTGAGACCAATTTACAGGAAGGAGACTCCGCTGGCAAGTTTGATAAGGTTGAGGCCAAAAAGGAAGAAATAATTGAAGATGCTTGTGATGCCGCTTCTTATGATGCAAAGGATGTAACTGAAATTGACCATGGAAATAGTATCTCAAAGGAAAGTTGCTTGGAGAACCGTGTAGTTTTTCCTGAAGCTGCTACGAACATTGCTGAAGTTGAAATTAATTCAAAAACCAACTTACGGGAAGGAGATGATGCCGGCAAGTTTGATAAGGTTGAGGCCAAAAAGGAAGAAATAAGTGGAGATCCTCATGATGCTGCTGCTCGTGATGCGAAGGATGAATTTGGAGTTGACAATGACAACAGTCCCTCAAAGGAAAGTCGCTCAGAGTACCCTGCAGTTACTCCTGGATCTGTTAAGAACCTTGCTGAAGTCGAAATCAATTTGGAAACCAACTTACAGGAAGGAGTTACTGCTGGCACAATCGATAAGGTGGAGGCCAAAAAGGATTGTATAACTACAGGTGCTTGTGATTTGAAGGGTGAAACTGGAGTTGACAACAACAATAGTCCTTCAAAGGAAATTTGCTTAGAGCATCATGTGCTTGCTCCTGAATCTGCCAAGGCTCTCCTTGAAGTCGGGATTAATCCAGTAGCTGACTTACAAGAAGGAGACACTGCTGGTAGTTTCGATAAGGTTGAGACCATAAAGGATAATATACTTGGAGATGCTTGTGATGCGAAGGATGAAACTGGAGTTGCCAACAGCGATAGTCACTCACGGGAAAGTCGCTCAGAGCATCCTGTAGTCACTCCCGAATCTGCTAAGATTCTTTCTGAAGTCGAGATTAATCTAGTAACTGGCTTACGGGAAGGAGACACTGCTGGTACATTTGATAAGGTTGAGACCAAAAAGGATGATATAACTGGAGATGCTTATGATGATACTGCTGGTCACGTGAAAGATGAACTTGGAGTTGACAATATTGTTGATCCTACAAAGAAGAGTCTTACAAAGCACCCTGTAGTTACTCTTGAATCTGCTAGGATTGTCTCTGACCTTGAAGTTAATCCTGAAAGCAACTTACAGGAGGAAAAGACTGCTGGTAATTTTGAGAAGGTTGAGACCAAAAAGGATGATACAATCGCAGATTCTTGTGATGCTGCTGCGGATCATGTGAAAGTTGAAATTGGAGGTGATAATAGCTTTGGTCCTACAAAGGAAAGTGGCCCAGGGAATGCTGTAGTCGCTCATGAATTTGCTAGCCAGCTCTTGGAACTCTATGTTAATCCAGCTACCAACTCACAGGAAGGTAATGATACCTTTGATCCTGAGAAGGGTAGAACTGAGAAGCTTGTTGAACATGGAACTGAAGGCAAGGATAGTTCTGTAGAGGAGAATCTGCCAGTGCAACTGAAAACTGTCCCAGAATCTGCTAGCCATCCTCGAGAATGCCAAACTGTTGCAGAGGACGTGCTAGTTAGGCCTATGGAAAAGTTACAGGAAACTGGGTGCACATATGTAGATGGTGCTTTTGATTCAAGCAAATTAGATGATGACGTGGTGAGAGATATTCAGATAGAATCAGTAGATGATAAACTCGACGAAAATTTCAAAGTACAGATCGAACTCATAGTCAATACCGCCACTCAATCAAATTGTGAGAGAGAATTGAGACCATTGCTATATACTGTGGATAACCATGAAAAAGAAACAACTCTTTCTCCTGCAGTCGAGGATAACTTCGCTAGAGAGTTTGATGCAGGTTCTGGGAGGGGTTCTGAATCGTTTCAAAGGGAAAGTGATAGACAACAGTTTGGTGATTCTACACATGGTATGTCGGTTGACTCTGGTAGCCAAACTGACAGTCTTGAAAACAACTGGGGATCTGTTTCAGGTAATTTTTTTTTTTTCTCATAAACAAAGTTTGGTTTGGGTAAAACCTTATCTGAAGATCTGTAAGAGTTGTTGGTTTGAGAAACAATTTCACTAAAATATGGCTTCTAAAACAGCAAAACAAGAATAATAGACTCCGTAATGGTGTAGTTATATTGGTATTACCATGCGAATTTTTTATCGTGTGTTTGACTATAGTTATATTGATGGGAAAGCTTGAAATGTGTTGATGATAAATTGATAACGTATGTAAGAGAGGAAAAAGTTGGCGATTAGAGCGTTTTGGCTTGATCCCTCATTCTAATATTTCTTCATGAAGCTGAGTCTATTCTATTTGATGCATCGGACAGTGATTTCCATCCAATCAGACGCGCAAGCTGTTATAGATGTTGATACTGTACAGCCAATCGAATCCCAACCGGTAATAGGAGAGAGGGGTAACTCAAAGGAGTCAAAACCCGCTTCTGGAAGACAATATCCTGATAAGTCGGATATGTTTGAGCCACCGTCTTTCATGACTTTGGTTGAATCTGGAGGGGAAAATGACAAAAAAGCTAAGGCTGATGAAATCCAAACAAAATCTTCAACCGTGCAAGCGGGGTGGTTCCCTTCGATTGCACACGTCGTGAATGAATCGCAAGGGAGAAAGAAGAATGAGCAGAAAATTGCAAAGGTAACAAACTGGAGCACTGGTAAGCCACACTCTCCTTTGAAAAACCTCTTGGGTGAAGCCTCTCTTGAGACCAGAGCAAAGTCGCCAAAACGGAAAGATCGAGCTCCTTCGCCTCAGAAAGACGACAAAGCAGCGTCAACAGTCAGCTCCATTCCGGCTCCTGAACCGCCCTTAGATCAGGCTGCTAACAGAGAGACTGGAAATGAATGGAATTCACCAGCAAGGTATCCTACAGAGATTAAGAGAGAGAAAAGAAAACCAAAAGGTAGACCATACTGGGCACAGTTTATGTGTTGCTCATCTGTTCATTAAATTCGTCAAATGGTTGAATCTCGAGAAAGAAGGTGGATATGTACTGTTCGTATTGACTCTCACTCTGGTAAAGTTAAAGATTATGATGCAAAATCTAGTTTTTGTGCTGGTAGTTATTTATTTATTTTTTTTTTCCTACTATTAAATACAGGTACATAGAATAAAGATGTTTCGATATGGTTTGTAAATTTTATGGTCTCTATTATTCGTGCAGGCCCTTGGTTTGTATATGTATGGGCTCTTTACTCAATTGCAGAGATGTTTTTATAGTATTCACTATTTAGTAGATCCATCTATCTGTTTTCTCAAGGAGAGAGCCAAAGGATCTATACTTTGTGGTTTCGATAAGATGCTATTATATCTTGGATTAGGTTGCTGGAAGTCTTGTTGAAATATAAGATGGTCCATCAAAAATTATGTGATAGTAAAAAGATTGTTCATGATTTTTTTCTTATATATAAGCCCCATTTTGAGGGTGTTTATTTTTTTTATTTTTAAAGAGAAGATGCATTCATTTAAATGAACAGAGTCATAAGCACTAGCAAGAGATTCAATACAATTTGGAAATTTCACTAAGTGTAGAATTAAAACCAAAACAGGCAAGGCTAGTGAAGTGAGATACCTTGTTAGCACTTCTAGGTGCTGGGTTTTATTTAATATCCTATTATGGGCCTACATATTTAAATGACAATTATATTGGGATAATTATGCTACTTGCCACATATTTTAGGGGTGGATTCACATATGCAAGATGGCATTAAATTATTATAAAATATACTACAATAACAATACCCACAAATTAAACATAGTTTTTCTTTTTCTCATTCTCTCTCTTACTCTCCAAACCCTTTCTCTCTCACTTCCTTAGTCACCCCTCTCTCTTCTCTCTCTCTCTCTCTCTCTCTGCCCCCCTCTCTCGCACGTGCGCACACACAGCTACTAACGTCCCTAACCTCTGCCCCTTCCACCCACCACCGTCACGCTTCACCGGCGACAACCCATCCGCTAGGCCTCCTCTGTCGAGCACAAAGCTCCTTTTTATTTGTCGACCACAAAGCAGCTCCTCCATCTTCACGCGAAGGCATTTCTCCTTTGTGCGGGCATATCTCTCCTCGTTGCTGCCGCCACATGGAGTTGATTTGGTCTTCGCGCCGGTCCTCCTCAGATCTCCCCATCGGAGAAGTTGATTGCCAGGGCTCAAAAGATCATCTCCCTCTTTTTGCCGCCGTGGAGGAGATTAGCCTTTGTAAGCTTCGTCAATGATTCCGGCTCAGCCGGTTGCTTTCCATGGCGAGGCGCATTGTTTCTTTTTTTTTTTTTTTGGATTTTGTAAAGTTTGATATGTGGTGTTGGAATTTTTATGAAGGTGTTTGTGAACTTTTGTGTTTCGATGACGGGAAGGACTGTGGTGTTGCGGGTATTGGCGGATACCGATCAGTATAACGATGCCTACCCGGGTATTGTGAATTTTCTTTTCTAATTTGTGGATTATCAAATTTGTTTTGTAATTTTTTGTTATTCTAACATCGCCGGTTGCGGTGGTCTCTGACAAATCTGGGTGGTTACCCGCTGGTGACTTGGTGGTCACCGATTGATAACTAGTATCTTGACAGATACCAATTGGTATTTTGATTCAGTGACTTGGTTGCGTTGGTAGTTGGCAGCTGTCGGTGACTATTGTCGTCAAGACTAGCGTTTGTCTGTCGGATACTGTCGAGTATCTCAGTTGGATACTAGTTTTGTTATTAGATACCGGCGGGTATCTTAATTTGGTATTCCAAATATAGGTCTCGTTTAGTTTGTGAATTCAAATTTTTAATTATTATTGAGATGTAATTTTATGTGTGAATTTTTCACTATAACAAAAAAAAAAAGTTAGATGCAACTTTTTGTATGAGCTTTTAACTGTAACAAAATTAACAAAATTGAAATTAAAAATTCGAATTGGTAAAATAAGCGAAATCATAATGTGATAACATGCTTGTGGTATTCTGTGAAATAATTTATGTCTTTAAGTATATGTCATTCTAAGCCTAAAACCTATTGATGTACCAGAAAATACGCTTGGACACGTCAGCCAACAAAGGCACGTCACGTGGCCCCACAGGGGCTGCGTGGACATAGGCGTCGACCGTTTAGGCCGCCGACCCCATTAACCCTCGACGTCTATATAGCTCATCCGGAAAGGCGATTTAGCTAAGGTCGGCCAGGTTGTAGTCTGTGCCTGGACTCTGCCGCAACGGGACAGCGTCGACCGTATAAGCGTGGGACCCCCGAGGTGACTGCAGTGCAGGCATTAATTATAAACCCTTAAACCGCCCTGCAGTGGGAAGCAAGAGATTACAAGAAGTCACATAGTCGTAATAGAAGACCAAACGACTGAGTGAACAGTCCAAAAGTGATTAGTGGGCTATAATCTTAGCCTAGAAAGCAGGCCACTCGAGTACTTCCACCTACGAGGGAAAGCCACCCACGAAGGAAGCTTGGGCTATAAAAAGGACAAAGCTCCATATGCCAAGGGAGAGGACTCGAAAAGAAAGAGAAAGAGAGAGCGTGTATATAATTTGTAAAGAGTTCAAAATAATTATACCCTATACAAGTGGATGTAGCCCTTCATTAATAGGGTGAACCACTATAAATCCCGTGTGTTCCCTTATTTAAGCGTTAGATTCATGTCTCGAAAACACTTCATAGTATAATTCTAAATATACAATTAATTTCTAGCCGGTAACTTAACGGAATACCAAAGGGGCATCCAGCGTATTTCTGTTGACGAAATTCGACCGTCAACAATTGGCGACTCCGCAGGGGACCGAACCCGGAATCTCTGGTTCGCACGTTAGTTAACATGCCTCCAAGAAGAAGAATTGAGGCCATCAACCAAGGCGGCCAGATGGAAGAAACTGCCGCACATCCGGCAAACAATGGGATGGAAGAAGATCTACCTCCGGTTAGGAACGGAGCTCCACCCCCAGACATACTACAACCAGACCCTGTGCAGATGCAGGCCCAGCTTACTACCCTAACCGACCTGGTGCGGGGACTGATGACTGTGGTTGAGCGCTTGGACGAAAGAAACTCGATGTTGCCTCTGGAAGACGCCCCGAGGCCAATGGAAGTTGCCGTGGCTGGAAACCACAACCCCGGTGACCGTCAAGACATCCCGGAGGGAATCGGGGATAGTGAAAATCTTCGAGGTAATCCCAGGCCTCGACCTTCCCAATCCACTGGCAGTCGTCTAAGGGCCGCCGGACTCCGGGCTCCTGAGAACCAAATAGCTGGAGGCCTGAGAAACCCCGAAGCGCCACCTCAGAACCTTGGCAGGAACCCCCCAGGAGATGCGGGGTCAGTACAGACGGGCGGACGGGCAGGAGGCGGACCCAATGCGCAGAGGCCTGAGGCGTCGAGAGGACCTGGCTCAGCAATCTCTACGGAGGAGGCACTAGCCATTATGGAGCGCATGGCTAGCCTAGAGCAAAGGCTCACGGGCGATGTCGCCGGCCTAAAGAAAAACATAGGGCGAGTGGCTAAGGTGGTAAACGTCGACATCACACCTAGTCAGACGCACGACCACTCGTTTACCGAGAAAATTATGGCGATGCCTCTCACCGATAAATACAGGTCGCTGTCGATCCTACCGTATGACGGTCGAGGGGGTCCCGATGATCACATAGAGAGGTACACAGGGCACATGCTCTTGCATGGATATGCTGAGGAGATCATGTGCCGAGCCTTCCGAAACCATCTAACGGATTCCGCTCGAAGATGGTTTTGGACGCTAAAGCCAAACTCTATCTCAAGCTGGGATGAGTTGAAGGAAGCATTTTCCCTCCAGTTTATAGGAGTGAAAAAATATGTTCCCCCAAAGCAAAATTTGACAACAATATATCAGAAGCCGAATGAGTCATTAAAAGAATGGCTTGCAAGGTATGAAGAGGCTATCGCCGCCACGACGGATATAACCGACCGGGAGGCCTTGATGGGGGTGCTATCTAGCATGAAGAAAATCACTCCCTTCAAGAGGGAGCTTAACCAAAAGCCCCGTCCAGTTACAAAGAATTCCTTGCACGAGCGCAAGGATACTTTAACGCCGAGGAAGCAGACGCGAACGACCCCGAGCACAGGTCAAATAAAAACAAAGGTACGGATCAAGGGTCGACTGTGGGAAAGCCGGACGGAAAGAAGCGACGAGGCAGAGGAAGCGGAGACAAGTAGCCTGCTTCGACGCCAAACGCTCCAGAGGCCAAGAAGCCGAGGCAAGAGGAAAACCGCAAGCCTGGACCGTTCCAAAGGTACGACTCATATCATGAATTAACTATGGGGGTTGAAGAGGTGTTTAATCAGGTCGGTCACGGGAACCTGCTGCGCCGACCAGAACCTGTAACACCCTGAAGAATTAATTGAGATTAATTAAGGTAATTGAGATTATTAGTGTGCCTAATCTGATTTAATTAATTGAGTTTAAATAATTCTAAGGTATTTAAATTATTCACAGTAATTTATTTAATCCAGAAGTGTGTATGGGCGCATTTCTGGACTGTTATATTTTACACATGTCACTTTCTTTTATTTTTCTTTTCTTTTCTTTTCTTTTTCTTTTTCCTTTCTTTTCCTTCCTTTTCTTTTTCTTTCCCGTGCGTTTCTCTCTCTCTCTCTCTCTCTCACACACTTCCGTGCTCTCTCTCTCCCTCTATCTCTCCCATTTGTGTCTCAAATCAAAACCGGATTCGAACCAAGAGTGATTTCAAAGAGTTTTCAACGTCAAGAGAAGGATTCGAGGTAAGATTACTGAAAGAACCCCTCTTGAATCTATGTTTTTTCGGATTTCAAAACTTATTTTTTGGTTCAAAACGGATTTTGATGATTTTGAGTAAAACTAGAGTAGAAATTGGAGATCTTAGGTTCTTTGGACTTGTTTTAGGACCTAGAACCCGGATCTAGTGGTTTCCCTTTGAAATATTTGGATTTGGGACTGGATTTGCAGGTTTTTGGACTGATTTCCGTGAGCTTCTCTCGCGCAGTCGATTCCACCGGTCGACCTGGGCGGTCGACCGGATTGCAGGCTGACCGGTCGACCAGTCCGGTCGACCGGTGTGCACATTACCGGTCGACCAGTAGTGTTGTACTGCTCTGTCACCGGTTGACCGGTGGACACGGGTTTGACCCTGTTTGGCCTGAAAAGTGTTGTTTTGACCCCTATTTTCGGGGAGAACCCAAATTAGCTTCATTTAGGGACTTGAGATAGATGGATTAGCATTGTTAATCCTTGTTTTGAGATTGAAAACCCTTGGAATGATAATGTGAAACATTAAAATGGATTAGGGCACACTAATAGGAAATCTTGGTATATGA